CTTGTGCAATGGGCAATACGCACATATGCCAACAAGAGATTGACCAGTTGCAGTCCTAAACATCAATGAAAAGATTCAAACAAATAATACCAAGTGAATTGAAAGTAAATGTTTTTATCGTAAAAGTTACGTAGGAAATCATATGGAGAGGTCATTTGTTGTTAGATGTTCCAGTCAATAAAAAGAAAATTAGTCTTAAAGAAGTTGATGTCTAAATATTAGTGTTTCACTGACTTCTAGCGGGAGAGACATATTCGATCAACTATTGTTTGTAGAATACTCAAAATTTACACCTATTTTCTACGGATAAATTACACTAATAGTATAAAATTTCCAAAAGAGCTTCGATCTACTCATTCAACTAATGGTTGAAAACATAAAGTTAGGAAAATAATTTCAGTCATTAATAAACTTCAATAGAAAAAAACATTGTAATGGTCATCAATTCTGCTGATTAAAAATTTATTGCGCAATATTAGGATTAAGTTCCAGTGGTTGACAAAATATCGACTATTAATGAATTACTTTAAAGAAACATTTCAAAATCATACTACAATCACATGGCAACATTTAAATCATCAATGTGGACATAAGTCATTATGATGAAAATGGATCACTCTAAAATTGTAACATATCTTAATAAAGAAAACGTTCGACCAGTAAGCGATCTAATAAATGTAAACGAGTTAAGGCACATGTGATTTTACATTCCGTATAAGTTTACTATATGTACAAAAAGTTTGAAAATGCTTTTTCTGTCACGCTTATGTAAGTTATACAAGAAGGACTGAATAACTGCTTAATATTAGTTTGAAACTCTTCAGCAGCGCGAATTTGAGCCCTGAATACAAGATAGGAAGTTCAAAACTAACCAGTTTTTTTAGTTGTGTTCATTGGAAACTTTATAATATATGAATGCATATTTTCTAAAACATACCCTCTATTGTCAAAACTGAGGGAAATAATTTAAAATGTTAACTTAATTGTATTGATTAAAATTGTTACCCCCGAATGCTCTGGTGTGGCAGAGAGTGGGTAGGGGCCATCCTCCCTCTCGAAATGCTCTCACACGGCTACGCGTATATAGCATCTGCCAGGGAAGTCCTACTCACTACCTTCTCGTGGCGGGAGTGTTGCTTACGAAATTGAGAGGACGAGAAGCGAATGTCCGGTGCTTTAACCGGGTTGGTGCACCCGAGAGTTCACCTAGGGGAGTTGGAAAACCCTCATTCCAAACCAATGGTGCACATGGCCTCCAGTATCCCGAAGGAACAAATAGCGTATGAACCAATCGTTGGTCACCGGCTACCATGGGACTGCATCTCCTCACGATGCTTCACTGCCTTGTGGATCATATCTTTAGGTCAAAGTTTTCGAATGTGGCTCACTAAGAAAGCCACCTGCTTCAGTTTGGTTACCTGGGCAGTGTCCCAGACCTCATACATATCAAATGAGATTTGGGCGGCGCATATGTATCTGGTGCTTCCTTGTACTAATATTTATGTGTATAAATAAATAAATAAAATAATAGTATCCATTAAGATCACAGAATTTCATTTTAGAGGATAAAGAGTTAATTTAGGTCTAAGAATTTGTTCAGTCTGAAATTATGCCACTCAAAGTCAAATAAAATGATAAATATTCAAATTGTTCGGTAAATTTTTGATTCCGTAAAATGAAAAAAATCCACCAAGGTTAAATCAGAAAACAACTGACTTATTACAACGAATATGAATGGTTTTATTAAAATTCATTTTTTATTGTGTTATAACTTGTTTCCAAGTGGATGCCCAGTTAATATATGAAGTGATAAGACCGCCAATCAGAGAGCAGCGAATTATCGATTGGAACAATGACACACGAAAACCATACGAGCAGTCTAGAGTGCTTGTCGATCCTGCTTCCGCCTAGCCCAGCCAGTTAAGTCCAGAACACCAATAACAGCCTCTGCAGTATGAATCATTGTATTTCAAACATACTGCGTTTATATACCAAACAGACTGACCACATCGTACCAGTAAAATAGAAAATAACATTTTTACAACATTTAGCCAAATGTGGCTGTGAATGTGGGAGGCAGCAATTAATAATAGACTAGGGATAACTCAAGAATGGTAAGTCGTATAATAGTAGTCTATAAGTCAAAATAAAGCTTATAATAAGGGGAATACGAATATGAATAGTTTGGTTATTTAGCAATTATACGATAAGAAATATATGCATAGAATTGGTTTATATATGGATCCAAAAGTTTCCATTCACTATTGTTATGGGGACATAACAGATTGATATTTTAAAAGATGTATTTCTTACAATATTTTTCACTGTAAAACTATACAGTATACAAAATTTTCAGCGAAATAGATTACTGGTTAAAGGGGAAAAAATGAACTGGAATGGTAAGGAATCATAAAATAATTATTAGGAAAAACTGGTAGCCAAACACACACATTTAAGACATTTTCATGTTTAAGTTATTTGCTTGAAAAAGTTTGAACCAGATTGCTAGGCGGAACGTTGGGTTTACTTCAAATTCATTCGCTGAGATTTTACAAATATAATCTTTTTCCTATTTAATGTTTTACATCAATTCGGCACCCAAATACTGTGAAACAATTCGATCGAATTTAGTTATTTATTTATTATTTTATTTAAACACACAAATATTGGTACAAGGAAGCACCAGTTACATATGCGCCTCACAAATCTCATTCGATTTGTGTGAGGGCTGTGATACTGCCTAGCTGCCCAAACTGAAGCAGGTGGTTTTCTTAGGGGGCCACACCCGGAGCCTTTGACCTAAAGATATGATCCACAAGGCAATGGAGCATCATGAGGAGATGCAGTCCCATGGTAGCCGGTGACCAACAGTTGGTTCATACGCCATTCGTTCCTTCAGGATACTGGAGGCCATGTGCACCATTGGTTTGGAATGAGGGTTATCCAACTCCACTAGGTGGCTCTCCACATCCACCAACCGGTTAAAGCACCGGACATTCGCTTCTCGTCCTCTCACTTTTGTGAACAACACCCTCGCCACGAGAAGGCAGTGAGTAGGACTTCCCTGGCAGAGGCTATATATTCGCGTGGCCATATGAGAGCATTTCGAGAGGGAGAGTGGACTCTCCCCACTCTCGGCCGTACCAAGGCATTTGGGGGCGAATTTAGACGAAGTTCTTATGTTTAAATGGATAGTTATTTAAAAACAAATAAAATAATCAAGACTTCTACCCTCTTTTGTAAGTGTCGACTCATAAATCAAACTATAACTATTGTTCATTCATGAAAATACATTTCATTGTTACATTCAACTGTTATGTTTTGGTTAATAATTTCTTTCTTCAATATGCACATTTTCACACAGCTTAGTTACAAGTTAGCTGACTTATGTTCACACATTTTCAAGTTCCATATTTTTATCCTGAGAGATTTCCATTTATTGCCACGAGGAATTATCTTATCTGTTTACACTTCTATTTAAGACGGTTCGCCTTGTCTTTCGGGTGGATTAGTATTTTTTCTACTACTCTTATAGCTACTTTTTGAAAATTTGTTTAATTAAGAAAAGTGACATGTTATTTCCGGTTATTTGATAATTGTGTTTTAATTTTATTTTTATTTAAGTAGTTGGAGGGCACTCTCTACCTATGTGGTTGAACTTTCGGCAATGTAAAACTTCTGAACACTTTAAGATTCAATATTAATAAATTCTGAGAGTTAATATTTTCCTTAGTAAACTATTTGTACGTAGTATTAGAAATATACCTTATTATTATGACAAAATACTTCATTGTTCGTTTAGGGACTTAATGGCATTATAGAGGAAATCCACACAGGATGCACATATACCAAAAGAGATTGATTGGTTTCAGCCCTAAACATAAAAGTGAATATATATATATATATATATATATATATATATATGAATCTCAACAAATCTGTAAATAACGTCTAGAAACTGATGAACAGTAATTTACACGGTCGACTAAATTGTTTGTATTTAACTGATATGCTTGATGCTAATTACGATTTCTGGGTAAACAAACGAAGGTTAATGACACAGTGACACGATAGGCTAATCTAATCCGTTGTCCCAGGCCTCGCTAACTAGAGTGAGAAGTCCAAGACGAAGTAAAGGAAAATATATTCTGTAAGCAGCCGAAGTACAAGCAATCACAATAGGAAGAAATCAAACGTATTATACAGTATAAAGTTGTACTTGGGAAGTATTACAAAATAGCACACTACAAGGATACAACGAACCAATAGTCTTTAAGATATTTTCAAGTGGGAAATACAACTCGAAGGTGAAAAGAGCGCTTTTGGCGCGAAAACAAGGAAATTCAAATTTTCAAAATAAAATTACAAAAATAAGTTATTTACCAAGTAAGTTCTGAGGATTTAACATCCCCCAGCATTAACACATAACAACCCAATACAACTGTTATACACTCTACTGTGGCAACTTCAGAACCTCCCGACATGGATCCTACTGTAGCCTTAGTAGTATTGGTACTATGTCCATACATCTCAGCTCGTAATCTCAATAGGCTATGTCCTTGATCCAACTACTACTAGCGCATGGAACTTTACTTAAGAAATATTCTGACTAGATTACGCATAACGAATGTCAACAAAACTTTAAAGAGTGATTCAAATGAACAAAATTTGGTATTAAATTGTAAAAGATCAACATCAAATAACTTTGTTGGCAATGGTTATGCGATCAGCTCTTAACAATAGTCATGCTCGTTAGAGTTAAGCCTAACAAATTCTGTTGGGATTCAGTTCATTCAGATGACCTATGATCGCTAAAACATCAACTCGTAACCAACATCAATGGGAAACGAAAGTAAATGGTAAATATACTAGGGAAATGAGATTGATAAATAGAACAACAATGACGAATTTTAGAAACTACTTCTTAAAACACTATGAGATCTTACTGTTGATAAGGGGTGAAATCAACCACACAAATATATATATATATACATATATTTCTAATTATTATCAGATATACATTCACTTTCTGCATCAGAACTATCAGAGGATGATGGAAGCATATCTTCTGGGATATAATTGTCATTCTTTATTGAGGATTCTTTTGATATGTTTACAGTAAAAGTTTCCGGCCTATAAAAAAGTGATAGGGAAAATAATAAGTATTATTCAGTCAAAAAAACGATGAATTTATTTGGTAATTAAAATGGTATACCAAGAAATCTAAACACAAATGAATCGCTCAGCAAAGCATTTAAAAAGCTGTGACAATGCGTGAATAAAACCATTGGTTGTATTTTTTCCAGCGAAACAATTAGAAATTAAAACTATGTTTAAATGCTTACAACTCAATTAAAACGATAGTTGGTGCGATCACTACTACTAGATGTTGACATATGAACAGAATTATAACTAAAGAGTGTAACTATGACATAAAAGTAATGCAGGGAATGGTAAGTCATACATGTTGTCAATACAAAATGAAAGTACAACTAAAAACTGTTTTCAGTTACTGGAGTGGAGGTTGAAATTAATTCTAACTGTTTATGTTAAGGGACCTATGTATTATTGCTAGAACCCACTCAAAAAAACTGATTCACTGAATAAAAGGTGATTAACAGAGTTATGTTTCATATTAATTAATGATTCTGTAGCTTCTCATATTTTCTATCCGGAGCTATACCAGAATTTAAGTTCACATCAAAACATAAGTAAAGAAGTATTTAGAAGCTGGATATATTTGTGATTAGGTTTATGATTTATAATAATTGTATTTAACACACTCAACTTCCAGTTTCCCGTATATTTTATTGATGATTATCGAAGAGTATATATGACCCAGCCAACAATTACGTAAAGCCAGAAGCGACCATGAGGGTCAAGAGAAAGATAAGTCCTTCAATAGGATTACAAAGGCTCTCCCAAGCACTTGACGATGGATGTTGGTAAAGATTATTCTTCTGAAGGTTTAGTTTAATTATATTTTTATATAAATTTATTGAATGACTATAAAAAATTTATAAATATTTCGATTGAAAACCACCATGAAGGACATTAACTAATTAGTGTCATGTTTTAAAGTGGCAGTAGAGTAAGAGCCTGAATAAGACTGATCAATCACGCAACCTAAATTTTTGCTTTCTAGAGGTCGTAATACTTCGAAGATTGTTAGTGTGTAGAAATGCATTGAGTCACTGAAAACTTAATGTCCAAATGTTTCGCACTACAATTCGTACTATTTACAAATTATCAGTAGCTACAAATTTACGCATAACTTTTCAAAATGTTAAGCCAAACGGTGCATTAAAACTTGATTATAGCCAGTCTGATCCAGAACAGTGATTATGAAGTGTAGGTTATCGTTGACTTACTTATTAGTCAGGAATACAGATTATTAATAAGAGCAACAATAAATAAACTTACGCCTACCTAGCAAAACGCTATATAGTAATTTCGAAATACTACCGTATCTTCAAATACATTCTACACCTTGAAAAGATTAAAACAGCTAGTGTATTCGTTTTTTTGAAACGCGAGTAACATTTCTCATACAACCCTCAGTTTACTTAATGATTTAATGTCTAGTCTTAACGAATATTAATTGACAGAAATATAGAATGAAGATAGATCCAACTGCTAGTTTTTCCTTACGTTATGAATTCTTGATACATTTAAATAAAGTGAGAAGAAAAAGATTTCCAAGAAAACATGAATGTATTATATTTCAAAGCTTCTCACCAGTTTCAAACGGCCTGAAGTTATAATTTTATTTTATTTATCTATTTATACACGTAAATATTGGTACAAACGGGTACCAGATATATATGCGCCCCACAAATCAAATGAGATTGGCGTGAGGGCTTTGATACTGCCCAGGTACCGAAACTGAAGCAGGTGGTTTTCTTAAGGGGCCACACCCGGAGCCTTTGACCTAAAGATATGATCCACAAGGCAATGGAGCATCATGAGGAGATGCAGTCCCATGGTAGCCGGTGACCAACAATAGGTTCATACGTCATCCGTTCCATCAGGATCCTGGAGGCCATGTGCACCATTGGTTTGGAATGAGGGTTATCCAAATCCCCTAGGTGGATATGAAGTATCCACCAATCCGGTTAAAGCGCCGGACATTCTCTTTTCGTCCTCTCAATTTCGCAAACAACAGTAATGCCACGAGAAGGCAGTGGGTTCGACTTCCTTGGCAGAGGCTATATACGCATGGCCATGTGAGAGTATTTCAAGAGGGAAAGCGGACTCCCCACTCTCGGCCGTACCAGGGCATTTTGAGGGCGAAGTAGATAACGCGATTTCGTTTGAAGCGAAAGGTACTGGGTTCGAGTCCCAGAGGGAACATCAACTCTGAGATGCAGGTACATCCTTCTGACGAGTCCCGAAGTTATAATTACTTTTTCGTACCTTAATTACTGAAGTTGGTTTCGAAGTGACACCAAAAAAACGTACGAAGTACGAAAAGGAAACAACCTAATTCACATAATAGTTAGGACTGACTAGTATTTCTATGTTGAAAATGAATTCTCATACTAGTTCCACGTCGAATTATACATAAATATGGCTTCCGACCTGAGAAAAGATATCTTAAACAACGTGACATGTACGTTTCCAGCTAAACTTACAACGCGTTGTCAAATGGTGATTTCATTATTACGGCTAGTAGTCAACGCAGGATAAAATGTCATAATTTGGTAATTTCAGTTCAGAAAACAGGAATCATCTAAATACTGAACACTTAGCAATGAACACCATTAGTTTTTACACTCTGACACTCTATCACATTATTGATAATAATAAGTAATGTAAATAGTTTACAAATAAGATTATACAAATAAAATTATGGCACGACTATAACTATATTATACACTTACCAACGGCCTTCATCAATCAGCGCCTTAATATTATCCTTCTGTAACACAGTTCGAATTTCTCCCCTCACCTTTTTGCTATCCAACGGTGAACAGACAACGAAACCACCCTGAGGAAAGTAGAATGTATTGCGAAATCTTTCTGGAATGGATACAAAAACTTCCTCTCCATGTTCTGTCATCGCAGTGAACAAATAGTTGCCGCATGATTTGACTAACTGGAGATCAGATTATTTATTCCTAAAGTAGTTTGTACCTTACAAATGATTTCATTTGATTCTATGGTATGAGTATCTTTAAAAAGTTCCTTTTCTGCCTTTTTACGCTTAGGCACAGAGGAGGGAAGAATCATTCTTTATAGGATTTATTAATGAAAATGCCGTATTATAAATAATAGCTATGTAAAACCTGGAATTCCTAAAAAACATAGTAACAGTTAAATTTTACTATTGGAATAAACGTATAATAGAGGTGATTGAATTCTGTAAAAAAAAACACCTTTTGTGTGAATTGAAAAGTTGGTTGGGTAAAGTGTTTCAAATATCAAACTAAATATTTGGTTAACAAAAATATAACCCTCTTACGAAAAAGAGAAAGGTCTTGTAAAAACCTCATACATCTTACCTATGTAGTCAAAGAGAATATACATGGCACAAAACTACTGTATTATCTAAGTGAGGTAATTCAATATTGAAAATGTGAACCTTTTATTTAAAATCCACTTTCTATATGAAGCATTCTACATGTAAATTTTCGAGAATCTGGAGCAATTTTTCATAACCTACTAGTGAAACAAATTCAATATCACTGTTTACACGGTAAATTGATTTTTTTCTTTTTTTGAAAATGATCAGAAAAATTATAATGTCAACAAGTATATTGCAAATCAATGGTGAAACATCCTATGTGCAAAGTTATAATCGAACATGCTAGCGAAACTTCCAATCATATTGATACTTCACGCTTCTAATTTATTACAATCATAAATTATGAGTCACGTCATTACCGGTTAATCAAAAAATTCCACCCTATTTATTACCACACACTTCATTATGGTGGGGATGTATGTAGAATAGCATAGACCAAAAATCTATATAAATCAGTACGTTGGGAAGTAATCAAGGATATGTATAGAAAGAGACCTATCACAAAGATTTCGTTAACTTTACTGCCCTGATATGGCCGAGAATGGGGAGTCCGCTTTCCCTCTTGAAATACTCTCACATGGCCATGCGTATATAGCCTCTGCCAAGGAAGTCGAACCCACTGCCTTCTCGTGGCATTACTGTTGTTTGCGAAATTGAGAGGACGAAAAGAGAATGTCCGGCGCTTTAACCGGATTGGTGGATACTTCATATCCACCTAGGGGATTTGGATAACCCTCATTCCAAACCAATGGTGCACATGGCCTCCAGGATCCTGATGGAACGGATGACGTATGAACCTATTGTTGGTCACCGGCTACCATGGGACTGCATCTCCTCATGATGCTCCATTGCCTTGTGGATCATATCTTTAGGTCAAAGGCTCCGGGTGTGGCCCCTTAAGAAAACCACCTGCTTCAGTTTCGGTACCTGGGCAGTATCAAAGCCCTCACGCCAATCTCATTTGATTTGTGGGGCGCATATATATCTGGTACCCGTTTGTACCAATATTTACGTGTATAAATAAAATAAAAAATTCTATACTTTCTGGTTGATAATGCTTGTATGAAATTTCTAACTGAACTAAATTTACCTAACACAATGATACTTATTTCTGTTCCTCACGAAAATGACATATCACTCTTTTTACCGCTAAATTCAGGACTTTACATAGTGTTCTATCCTGACATCCGCTAAAGACAAACATGCTTTTGACACAAAAGTGTTTGGCAGATACATTGAAATAGATTTTAATTTACGTTGTTGCTTTTTATACCGATGAAAAAAACTTTAATCAACCGGAAAATGATATACTGCAAGCTTATAGCTTGGTGCTTTTATAAAATAATCACTATTTGATAGGGTTTATAAGCGAGTCGTGATGTTTAAGTAAACTTATTACTGAGATAGGTCGTCGACGTTGCATAAGGTTGATGCAAAACAATACCCATTGAGGTTTAACGAAAAAATACTTCGGACTTTTATCCTTACCCACACCCACGATTTAGCGACTACCATAAAACTTATAACCATGCTTTCAAAAATTGACCTTAAACCTATGACCAAATCCCTATGATTCAAAAAGACGTTCGCGGAGTAGCCACAACTGCTACTTTACGGCTATTTGAAGTTCTATGTGTGCACTAGCGACTGTAAAATGCCGCGCAAATACTTCAACGCTTTATCAACGACGTACTCCGTGGGATTTGTACACTGGATAATTTGGCGACTACTTGATTGCAGTTTCGGATAAAGAAACAAATCTAAAACATATAGATCCTCGTTTTGGAAGACTTCGAAAACAAGACATGGCGAATATTCGGAGTCAGTAAACTGGATTACCATAATTCTTAAGATGTATGGATCGCTTCATATGGACGGTAAGCGAAAAGCAGACAATTCAGCGACATTTGAAACACAAAGCGAGGGAAAATTCGAATTACTTTCCCCAGACAGGAGAAAAAGCGGACATTTGGGCGCCTTCCCCCATTATTTTCCAACGCATTTTCCCCTTTGTTCGCATTTATTTTCTATTTATTAGTTGCCTAGGATAAATTGAAATTTCGATTGAAAGAAAACGAAGCCTATCTACCGATTTTGGAAAACCTTGGGGTTTTTCCAAAAGTCATTTGATTAAAAGTGTTGAGGAATCGGGTTAAACAGTATATACTGTACATAATACATCTTACGGAATTTCCGAATCAGATGCACAAATCAAAGTAAGATTGAGTTCAGTATGATGACATTTTCTACTAGAGGTTTAAATACAATCTTATAACTTACTTTTCCACGACACAAACATACACTAAGATTTATATTCTCAAGAAGCATGCACTTTTGAAGGTCATTCCGCAGACGCCAGCTGCTCAATCTCCAATGGGATTGCACAAATATGCAATATGCTAAAATATTTATGGTCCGAAAAGAAAAAACTTGCGGTTGAGGAGCTTCCATTACTGGAAAAAATGAGACACTGGTGACTTGAGGTGAAAACTAAGTGGTATAAATATAACCGATTCAGATTTGTATATTGAGGACAGAAAGCCTACAGCCTATGTTGTCGCTTTACTAGTAAGCTTCTGATAGTGCCTCGTCTTCTCTTGAATGATTCCATTGAAGTAGCTGAGTGAAATTCCTCTAGGAACAGGTTAAAAGAATTGATTACTTGGTGTGGAAACCTGTTTACAACTTGTAATTTTTTATTCTTAGTTTTTGTACTCCCCCGGTTTTTCCTCTGAGTTTTCCAGACCTTGTAGAAAGAAGAAGAGGTGATAGGTCAGGTCCAAAACGATTTCTTAGTATACAATAAATTAAAACCAGATCATCTAATCAGCGACCGAACAGAGTTTAGAGGTCTATAAGATACTGTTCTGAGTCTTTAAGAACATATATGTCTTGCTCTTTAGGAGCGCCCGAAAAATCTCTCAAACTCCTTCTGTGGTTAGAAAATCAAAACACTCGACTTATTATGAGCAGCATCATGTAAGTCAACTATCCAGTTTATCATGTTCCACCTATTAAATTAGTGCCTGCGCGAAAATTTATTAGGTGTTTGATATGATGACCACGGATGTTTGGGGTTTTGTAAGTCACACGGAATTCTCGTCTATGACTCTTATATTATAAAATATAGGAGTCTAATGCCTTAAGGCTCTCCTTATAAGTCTTGAGTTTGGGCCACCAAACTGAATAAATTATTCTCCTCCAGATACACTCTCAGAATTTATATCCTTTCAGAAGGAAGAACAGGATACCATATTTTTATATGCGGAGTGAAGCTGATTGAAATCATTCAAAATTGGACATAAGACTCCACTGTTAAACTGACAGAACGGATGCTTCCAGCTTACTAGTAAGTGGTCTTCCCTGAGGTCATTTTTCATATAGGATAACAATTTAGGACGTCATCATTCGGGTAGTGACGCTTCTAGAGGAAAATTGTTCAAGTCACATATGTAGTTTGTGATATTTCTCATGCACACCAAGGTAGACTTCCATGTCTATCTGGTCCATATCGTCCCTCAACTCGGTCACATTTAAGTGTCTACAATTCCGTCAACTTTTTAGCAAGGCTTTTAAGCTCGGTCTTATAACTGATACGAAAGCATACTACGTCATGGCCATCCTCTGCAAATCCAATCACGGCCTGATAGTTGTCAAATAAGAACTTAAATTTGGTGAGAACTTCAATGTAGTCAACCTATCCGCTGCATGTATACTGAATAAAATCAACTCCGGTAGACAAAAATAACCTTATATTATAGTGCATGTATGTTCCAGTTCAGGAGATCTGGATATTTCTTCTAAGATCTCATTGCCATAATGAATACCAGCAGCAGCCTCTAAATAAGCAGCCCCATTCAGACACTCAGTAGTGCTAGATACACAACTGGTGAACAAAGATTTTTTGCAACACTAAATTCTGTTCACACAGCAGCCATTGTTAGTTTCCAAGAATGCCATTAATTATAAACAACTGGCGCAGATTGAAGTGCGTGATGTGCAGAAATGTATTCGGCAAGTAAATGGAGTCTTTCTACACTGTGTTTCAGAATTTAAACGACCAACTCCGTCTGACTGTGTTATTTGACAAATAATCCCCAGCTCGCCAGCTATCATCTTGTTAACTAACCATACCGATAACAAGCAAATTTTGGTGCTTGAGATGTGAGATTCTGGATGCTGAAATAAGTTATACTATTTCATTCACCATATGTCTAATGAAAATATGACATTGAACTATCCAACCTCATAACTTTAATATTATTACCACAAGAGTTACGCAACGCGTAGTAGTATTTTACTCGTTTATATTCATGTCTCGAATTAAAACCTGCATGTCCACCAATTAAATCAGGGTTCTATAAATATTGTGACATATTTTGAACAAATATTACACAGTCGATAGCATGTTTTCATTTCGTGTCTACGAATAGCAGACTTAATTCCTCTTCTGGCTCTTATAAAGTTACGCCGATCTCAAGTCCGCTCAGAGGAGCAGGGTTGTACGTGTAGTCAGCAACCCCATCCCGTAGAAAACAACCATGCTAAGAAAACGCCAACCAGAGTGAACAATTTAAGCCATTTAAACTCTGCTCTCCAAGTTAAAGGATCTCCATTCAGAAGAATTATGATGCCTCATGGTGAAAACCTAGATTCTCAGGAAGTCACAAGGTCGATATCCCTTCTAACAACCAGAGCAACAATC